CACATATTTTTACCTACAATGGGGAAAAATTTCACATCTCACAGGTTGTACATCAGTTCTCAGCTCTGTAGAACGTGCTGCATTTGCCAATTCTGTACTAAAGACACATACCTATAGTTGCCACATCGCTGAAGTACTGAAGTGCCTTATGTGCTATGCACAATTAAACTAAGTATTTGAGATGCTCTGACTCAGCACAGAAACTGTTTTTTCCCCAAGTACTTAAAATGTTATATAAACAGGAAGTCAATTAGGTATCAGGAAATTCCAGAGCCTTTAGCTCAAAGAAAGCCTAGATTAAAGGATACAATCTACATATCATCCTAAGGCAAAGGTCTGCCACTGAAAATACCTTAGTCTCTATTTCCTCAAATGTAACTTGGGGGATAACTATTGATGTGTAGAGGTAGAGTACTCCAGTCTCCTTTATAAGAGGAAAAAAAAAAAATCAAAAAAGGCATGTACAAGTGCTTGATCATATCATGAAGTGAATGAACCTTAGGGAACCTCACTGCTTTATTACAAATCATACTCCGTCAATTACTGCTTTACACCAGACCTCCCTAATGAATTGTAATGCAAGTTCCTGCTCCACAAACTGAAAACCAAAGTAATCTGCTTGAGGTCAAGATGTGACAATAAAACCCTGTGCGTGATCATCATCATCTTCATCTCAGTCTGTGTACTTTCACAGTGACTATCAATGTTTCACTGATTGCTTTTGAACTGCTGACAGATTGAAAAAAAACAAAACAAAACAAAACACAACCAACCAACCAAACAACCCAGCACACATTTTACAGATTGGGGCGGGTCAAGCAACAGTGAACACAGGTTCAAACACACAACTTAGGAACCACTCCTTCTCCCTCCCCCCTAAAGACTTCAGAAGTGAAAACATGGATGGGGAAACACTTAGGTTAGTGATGATTGACAAAAGACATGATAATGCTTCAGTAACCTAAACATGCTAGAATAATCAAACTAGTCTACAAGTGACTCTAGTCACTTATTCATTCAAAAAATGAATGAATTAATTTTAAAAAGCCTTTATCCATAACTTATTAAAACCAGTATTACAATGCTTTTCCCTTTCTTATTCCTACAAAACTATAATGTGATTGAAAGGGAAATCCCTTGAACAGATCTCTTCTTTCTAAGTTTTGCCCATTATGTACCTCCAAAGCCAAGGCTGTCTTGTCGTAGGCATTAGGGACTCGCTTCTGGATAACCCGGGCATAAATAGGGCCATTCTGAAGGTTAGGGAGCGGAGTGCTGACGCTGGGCTGGGCATAGGGCCCTGGCTCCGGCCCACCCAGCGGTTGTGGGTGGGAACTATCCTGGTTACCTCCAATCAGAGTAGATACTGAAGCAGAGGAAGGTCTATACTTCTCGACGTAAGGAACAGGTATCATTCCCCTCTTTCCTTCGCTGTCTTCTGCATTCCACCATTGCTCTTCAGGTTTATCCCGGATTCTCAGTATGTCTCCTTTCTTAAATGGAAGGTCTTCTTCATCATTTCCATTAAAGTCAAAGAGAGCTCGCACATACTCAGCTTCTTCCTGCCTGAGGATAACGCCACCATTCTGCCTGGATCGGGAAACTGGTTCTATCAAGGTTGTAGTGTCCAAATAGTGTATTTTGTAGAATTCCAGTAAAGATGGCAAAGAATCAAACTCTTGATCACCTATTCGAAACCTGGTGGGATTCAACCCTGAAAGAAGAAGGCAGTATGTCAAAGAGAGCATACAACGGTTAAAACTGTCAAACATTTCAGAAGACGAGTATATTTAAAGATAAGTAATTTTATACTGAATTTGGTCATCTTTAGATCAACATTCATCATATTCATCTCTTCTAGGTATTCCTCATCAAAGACAGCACTATCACAATTACGAGGACAGAGTTCTATTTTTATAGATTTTGTCAAAGAAGGAAAAAAGAAATTGTTTGGCACTGACAGACTTCCTGAATTAGGATAAAAATAACTTGTTTCCTTGAATATTATATGGACCCAACAAATAAAAATGTTCAATACATCTGAGTTTCTCAGGATCCTGTATAATTTTCAGTAACAGAAATTCCCTTTTTCCTGATTTATACTCTGCATCTGGAAAGTGCATGAAATTTTGGTACAATTTCAAGGAATTGTACCAAATTGTACCATTTTGTACAATTTTGGTACAATTTTTTTTTTAAACTCATTTGCAGTTCAAAGTTATTTCCAAAGGACAACACTGCAATAATGGTTTACCCGTTGTAATGTATCTTGGGTTAAAGGTATGGATGCTACAGAAAACTGCTTAGCACATAAACAAACAATTTATGTGAATGAGCAAATGAAGGTATTTTTAATTTTGATAAAAGGTACCATTAGTGAAAAATACGTATATTTTATGCAACGCAAAGCAACAACGTATGTTTTCATAATGCATATAATTCAGTTTTTTAACCTCAAGTCTTGTAGTTTCTTTGCCATATTTGTCAGATGGAGCTTAAGCTATAAATCTGAACCTCAAATACATTAAAATACAGATGATGTTCATATTCATGTCATTAGAAGTACCGAAGTGTAGATATCCATTTCAGTTTTCAATCTGTGTGCTGCACTTTTTTTCCATTTTATGTTCTTCAGGCTCAGCTGGGGAAAAACATACGCATGATGTTCTATTTCCACCATGCACCATAGCCTGTGTAATCAGTTATGGGAAGAACTGTGGAAGGCTGGGGGAGGGTAGCGGAGAGGAAAAGATTTATGCTTTAATGAGTAACTCTTTTAGCAAGAAAGAGATGCTTACTTTGCAAGTCTGTTTCTCTGCGGGGAATATCTAACAGTTTCGAGACTTAGCTCTCAAGTACAAAGCTAGCAGAATTCTTCAAGCTGTCACTGATCCAAAACCCCCTTCAAAGTAGCACTGTCAGCAGGGAAAGCTAACATTACAAGAAGTTCTTTCAAAAGAGCAAAAAGGGGTTCTAATAGAGAAAAGGGCAGATTCAATAAGATCAACATAGACAAACACCCGATAAATAAGTTTTGAAGTATCCTGAAGGAACATAAAAACATCAATGAAGCTGGTTACAGGAAATTCAAAGCAGCAGAACTAAGTCATTGGAAAATGCCCATTTGCATGCGGTAAGAGCCCTGAAAGACTTTCAAAGGAATCAGCACAAATGCAATGAGCCAAAGACCAAAGGCAATACCCTAAAAAAATTACAAAAAACCCCCAAATCACAAGCTGGCATCACCAAGAAATAAGGCAGCTAATGTAAATATCACTAAGAAATATGTACTCAGCATGGAAAGGTAAGATTCCACCTTATTCTCCCAAAGCATAATGCTGAAAAGATGCAAAACCCTCTCAACTTTTGTTGATGAGGTGTAATTTACAGCTCTACACTTAGCAAGAACTCTGGAATTTCATCTCAGTGGCAGCTCTGGGCTCAGAGCTGGAGAAGACTGAATCGCAGGTAAGTTCACTGACATGGAACTTACTTCACATGACACAAACCTAGACCCTGAAACACTGACTTGCCTCTGTAAAACCTGCTACAAACTGACTCAGTCAGGAGGTTGAGATCTCTTGTCTCCGGCAAAGTAAGTGCACACAGAAAAATCTTAACTCGTAGGAAATGAGCAGTTCAACCGTAACGTTCATCAGCACCAAAATCATCACTAGGATGAACAAGGTTTTTTAGGGTTTGTTTTTTTATTTTTCTCGTTTGAACAGGTTCAACCTCTTGAATTAATGCATAACAGCCTGAGATAGCTGCCAAATATATCTGAATAGAACGCAAGTTGGACTCTAAGAGGAAAGTCCACTGGAACCTTAGGTATGGGCAAGGAATGACTGAAATCAGTGTACTGTGTCCCGGAAAATCATATTCTAAAAGGCATTTTGCACAACTGAAGAAGAGTGAGAGAACACAGACCCTTTAAATGCATTCTAGGATCAGAAAGATCAATGCAATCCTTGAAGGGACAAACACATAAGCAGCAGAAAGGAGAGACATTATCTTCACAAAGAGAACACTCCCAGAAAACCACATGCACTTCTGATGCTTTTAAAAAAAACCAGAAGGCAGATACAAAGCCTGGAAAACCTCTTTGCAACAAAATCTACAAACTTAATCCACATTAATTACCAAAGAATATAAAGGCAGCAATCTGATCACTGTCTGGAGAATTTACATAGAAGACTTCTAAATTCAGATAAAATAGGCATAAAAAGGACAAAATTGTTGAAAGTCGCAGGTCTGAAATAAAATATAAGTACACCTTACTAACCAGGCAGTAAACTCTTATCAGTTTAAGTCTTTTGTGCATACTCTTGTTCAGCTACACGATAATGAGCTGAATGATGCTCGCTTACGCAGCAGGGAAATAATTCTATATTCACTACGGGCTTCGAAGTTTTGACATTCCCTGGTATAATGAAATTCAAAGATTAACAGTTTTTGGGCTCAGAGGAGTTCTTCAGCTTCTTGTTTGAACTGGAACACTTGTCATACCTGTAGGCCAGTGGAAAAAATTAAGGCAAGATCTACCATAAGAAAAAAGTTATAGCAATAAGGCAAGTGTCTTTTGGAGAAGTAGAACTGTTTTCCTTCTTGATTCTGGGACAGTTTTCTTGAGGGCAGAATTTTGAGCAGCACATTGTCCACATCTTCTGAGGGCTCTCAGGAAGAGAAGGCGTGTAAAGATAACTAGCTACTGGAGAAACTTTACTCACTTCCTTTTAAAGTTGGACAACCAGAATAGTAGAAATTCTCTTTCCTTCTCCCCAGGTCTGCACAGCCAAAGGAAGAAGAGCTGCTCAGCTCACACCTCTACCAGCAGCACTACTCAGTTCTGTAAGAGGACCCCTTTGAATGAGATGCACGAAGGGCTGAGTATTGTCTTTCTTACTTATTCCATCCAAGCTCCATCTGTGCTAGGACTTAACCTGATTCCACCCATCTCAGCATGTCAGGACAGCAAGTGCTCTCAGGAAGGTGAGGAAAGAGTTAAAGTCCAAAGTGTCCGAGAATTAAAGAAAGTTTCGGATCTGGACCCTGCCTGTTCTCTGTTCATGATGCACATTCCCTCCTGACAAAACCCTTTCACACTGTGCTGGCTTCGTGTCAGTCAGGATAAGATTGCTTACATATGTTGTAAATTTTGCACAGATACTGGGGATGCAGAGGTATAAACATCTTACACTCTCCTTCTTGAGCATGTGGGCAGGTGGCATAACTACAAAGCAACTTCTCACTTTCTCGGACGTCTCAGGGGTTTTTTTACTCCAGTTGTGTTAGTGCCATTAGGCAGTTTTCCCTTTATTCCAAAGCACTGGTAAATGTTCCTTTTCAAGGCAGGGAAGACCTCACAGAAATACAGGTTTTCATTTTTGTTTCTAGATCTAGTCTGCAAGGGTGCCCCCCTCCTCCCCTCCAACTTATAAAGCATGTTTTGGGCAAGAAAAGCTGTTAAGCTGTTCTTATCATGTGGGGTACTGAGACACAAGGCTCTCATTCCAAAGACATCACAGAGATGTCAGCCAGTTTCCTCCTGGGGCACATGGGAACTCTGCTCTGAAGGCATCACATTCCAGCCGTGTGTTTCCCCCACCCCCCAGGAGGACACCTTTTTTTCCTTGTTCCTAAGTACCTCCCTACTCATGCCTGAGCAAAACAAATAAGCACCCCTGAACGCCCTATCAAAACAGTAAAACCCCAGTCACTGACTCCAGAGAAGAACTCCAAGCACACCAGGAGAATATTCTTAGAGAAGTTACATCTTGTCATTTCTGCAGATAATCAGAGCATGAGAGAAAAGCAGATGTCTCACGCATACACCTTCCAAGCTTCCAACAGTCTGCATTTTAAGACCTTAATTAAAAAAAACCCCACACCACAAAAAACCCCCAAGTGTCAGAGTTAAATCACACTGCTCACACATATCTAAAGCCATTTCATACACATCTGAGTATGGATATCATTATGTGAATTTTATACAACAATCAGCCCAAGAACCTGGTCTGGCATATTTCAATTTCCCAATGAGAAATGTACATTTGCCAATCAATTGCTAAAAAACTATACCATACAATTAACATAGTAGTTGTTCTTAAAGTTTTAGCTTGACTACAATAAATAAGCATGACAATTTGCAAATATTTACCTCATTTCACTGCATTAGCTTCCCTATCCAAACATGAAATCATCTTCTATCTTCTACCGATGTTTCCATCCCCCCCCACTTACTTTTTTCTGAAAGAAAAACTCAATTACACTTTAAGTGTAATTTAAGATACATACGCCCCCGCACCTTCTTTGGTTTGAGTGTGAAAAGCAAGAAATATCAGCACGGAGGCATGATTTATTTAAAACTACCAAAATCTCAGCATAGGAGTATCTGTGGTGGAGAAGTGATGCATCACCTATCCTCATAACATCCAGGAAGGAAAAGAAAAAAAAAAAAAAGAGACCAACCAAAACATAATTATACTTTTTAACATATATTAAGCCTAATGTGCCAACAGCCTACACAGCTACAATAACAGCTACTCTTCTAAAACAGATAAACATTTAAAATAGAAAAGAATTACCTAAGGGGCACTTAGTGATTTTAAAATAGAACACCAAAATTCCAGAATGTGTTAACACCCAGAACATCAGGAAGCCCGTAAAATGCCACAGAATGTTATTGAGCTTAAGAATGTAACGCAATTAAAAAATTAGGATAGCTATGTAACTGAACTGATACCACACTACCATGAAAAACCGCTGTTTTTCTAGAGATGAGTTGCTCTCCAGAAATAACACCGAAACCAGGACAGCCCACATCATTTTGCGAGCATTAACATCCAAATTTGAGCAGTTCTGCTACCAACTTTGGTGCAGTCCCCAGCAGGGATACTGCTGCCTTCGTATTACAAATTCTTAACACATCTAAGGACACTGCATTGCTGGGGGCTCTCACTCATTTAGTTACAGTTTTACTTGCAGAAATCCTGCATCTCATGGTACCGTTTTCCCCTCTGATACAATCGGTATCTTCTGCTCTACAAGCATTAAACACGTTGTTTTCATGTTAGATGTTAGGCTGATGATGAATAATATCAAACCTTCCCTTTCAACACACGGGAGGGGGGAAAAATTGAACGTCACATCTGATTTAAAGGAACAATTGCCTTTACATTCCTCAAGAGTTCCCACTACTTAAACTACCCACATAATACTGTGATTCATGACTTGAAATTCAGCCTCACAGTCTGTCTTCTAATTCAGAAGAATTCAGACTTTCAGGTGACACTTCCCCAGAACCATCCCCAGGCTGAGATAACATGCAAAATTATTAACCATAGTTAATTGGTTTATGAAAACAAAAGACTGCTGCAGCATCTTTCGGGAGGGCTCCACTCCAGTATTGGCACCACTACGGTACGG